AAAAAAAAAAAAAAAAAAAAAGAAAGTAAAGGAATAAAAGAATGGCTACTCTACAGGTAGCCAGAGGGTTGTTGATTGGCTATTTTTATGGTTATTTCTTGATTATATGCTAAACAAGGGGTGGGTTGTTTGTGAGTTTTCTGGGAAAGGGATGAGCAATTTCCCCCCCTCCCCCAACTGAGCGCATCTCCCCTTTTTAGACCATATAGGGTAACTTCTGGTCATTTCCATGGAATCTGTAAACTGTCAAGGTGCTGGTAGGAGTGTCTTTTAGTGTGTGAATGCACTATAATTAGCATATAATGAGCAATGAGGGCGACCAGAGGTCACTTTTGTTGCCACCTTGGTTTTGGTGGGATTTGGCCAGTTTCTTTACCACTGTTTGATCACCAAGGTCTTTGTGATCTGTATCACCTGTGGATCTTCTTTTTTTTTTTTTTGAGATGGAGTCTCACTCTGTCACCCAGGCTGGAGTGGCCCAATCTTGGCTTAATGCAACCTCTGCCTCCCAGTTTCAAGCAATTCTCCTGCCTCAGCCTCCTGAGTAGCTGGGGTTAATGGGCATGTGCCACCATGCCCATCTAATTATTTTTGCATTTGTAGTGGAAACAGGGTTTCACTGTGTTGGCCAGACTGGTCTCGATCTCCTGACCTCAAGTAATCCACCCCCCTCCACCTCCCAAAGTGCTGGGATTACTGGGATGAGCCACCATGCCCAGCCCTTGTGTCGATCTTCTATCTCATCCTTGACTAAGCCTCATTTTACCCAGCCTCTATTCAAGATGGAGTTGCTCTAGTTCGAAGGCCTCTGGCAGTGCCTCATTGTACTACGCAGGCTGGTCTTGCCTCCTGGCTTCAAGGGATCCTCTTGCCCAGCCTCCCAAAGTGCTGGGATTACAGGTGAGAGCCACCATAACTGGCCCTTTCCCCCATCTCTAATTCCTGGGAACCACTAAACTAGTCTATCCTCTATGTCTATACTTTCGTTATTAATATTTCACAAATGTTAAATAAATGCAAGAATACAATATGTAACTTTTTATGATGGGCCCTTCTTCAGTCAGCATAATTCCCTTGAAATCTATCCAAGGAATTATGTATATTGCATGTATTAATAGTTTGTTATTTTTTTCTATTGTTGAGTAGCATTCCATGGTATGGATGTAGCATAGTTTGTTTAACCATTCACATGATGAAAGACATTTGTGTTGTTTCCAGTTTTTGGTTATTAAAAATAAAGCTGCAAGGAACATTTGTGCACAGGTTTTTGTGTGAACAGAGCCTAAGTTTTCTTTTCTGTTGGTAAATGCTCAAGAGTGCAATGGCTGGGTCATATGGTAAGCACATGTTTAGTTTTATATGAAATTGTCAAACTTTTTCGGAGTGGCTGTACAATTTTACATTTCCTGCCAGTAATGTGGATCTAGTTTCTTTACCTCCTTAATCGCATTTGGTGTGTCACTACTTTTCATTTTAGCATTCTCATAGGCATGTAGTAATAGCTGATTTGGTTTTAATTTGAATTTCCCTGGTGGTTAATGATGTTGAACATCTTTTCATGTGCTTTCTTGCCTCTGTATATCCTGTTCAATGAAATGTCTACTCGTGTCTTTTGTCCATTTTCTAATCGGATTTTTTTAACCTGTTGAGTATTCAGAGCTCTTCAAATATTCAAACTTTGAAACAAAGACAAGGCCTTTATCTGATATGTGGTTTGCAAATTTTTTCCTCCTCTCCAGCTTGTTTTTACATCTTCTTCAAAAGGTCTTTCACAGGGCAAATGTTTTAAATTTCTTTTCTGCCAGGCACGGTGGCTCATGCCTGTAATCCCAGCATTTTTCGAGGTCAAGGTGGACGGATCACCTGAGGTCAGGAGTTCAAGACCAGCCTCACCAAAATGGTGAAACCCTGTCTCTACTAAAAATACAAAAATTAGCAGGGTGTGGTGGCACACAGCTGTAGTCCCAGCTACTCGGGAGGCTGACACAGGAGAATTGCTTGAAACCGGGAGGCAGAGACTGCAGTAAGCCGAGATCACACCAAGGCACTCCAGCCTGGGCAATAGAGCAAGACTGTGTCTCAATCAATCAATAAAGGCTGGGGTGGCTCACCCCCGTAAAGCCAGGGCACTCCAGCCTGGACGACAAAGACTTCGTCTAAATAAATAAATAAATAAATGCCCACAGTGGCTCACACCTGTAATCCCAGCACTTTGGTAGGCCAAGGCGGATGGATCACTTGAGATCAGGAGTTCGATACCCGCCTGGCCAACACGGGGAAACCTCATCTGTACTACAAATACAAAAATTAGCCAGGTGTGGTGGCACACATCTGTAGTCCCAGCTACTTGGGAGGTTGAAGCATAAGAGTTGCTTGAACTCATATGGCAGAGTTTGCAGTGAACAGAGATTGTGCCACTGTGCTCCAGCCTAGGTGACAGAGCAAAATTTGTTCTCAAAAAAAAAAAAAAAAAAAGAAATAGAAATTTTATTTATTTATTAGAGGCCGAGTCTGGCTCTGTTGCCCAGGCTGGAGTGCCCTGGCACAATCTTGGCTCACTGCAACCTCTGCCTCTGGGGTTCAAGCAATTCTGGTGTGTCAGCCTCCCGAGTATCTGGGACTACAGGCGCATGCCACCACTCCGGTCTAATTTTTATATTTTGAGTAGTGAGGGGGTTTCACCATGTTGCCCAGGCTGGTCTCGAATTCCTGAGCTCAAGTGATCCTCCCGCCTCCGTCCTGCCTCTGCCTCCCAGCGTGCTGGGATTAGGGGCGTGAGCCACCTCACTAGGCCAAAAGTTTTAAATTTCAATAAGATTCAATTTATCAACCTTTTCCTTTTATAGATTGGGCTTTTGGTATTGTCTAAAAATTCTTTGCCTAGCCGTAGGTCCTGAGGATTTTTTTTAAGTTTTTTTTTTCCCATTAGTGGTTTATTTTACATTTAAATCTACGATTCGAGTTAATTTTGTATAAGATGTGAGTTTTAGGTTGAGGTTAATTTTTTCGGTCTATATTTGTTCAATTGCTCCAGCATCATTTGTTGAAAAGGCTCCTGATTCCATTTTTGTACCTTTCCCCTTAAGAGCAGTGAGAATTTTTTTTTTTTTTTTTTTTTTTTTTTGAGAAGGAGTTTTGCTGTTGTTGCCCAGGCTGGAGTGCAATGGCACGATCTCGGCTCACTGCAACCTCTGCCTCCTGGGTTCAAGCAATTCTCCGGCCTCAGCCTCCCGAGTAGCTGGGACTACAGGCACACACCATCATGCCCAGCTAATTTTTGTATTTTTAGTAGAGACAAGGTTTCACCTTGTTGACCAGGATGGTCTCGATCTCTTGACCTCGTGATCCACCCGCCTCGGCCTCCCAAAGTGCTGGGATTACTGGCTTGAGCCACCGCGCCGGCCTGAGAATTTTTTTTTTTTTTTCCTGAAAACGTTTATCAGTGATGATGTCATGGCTTGTGCAAAATCTGTACTGGCATCTCACAACATAAGATTTGGCTCTGGCTGGGAGCAGTGGCTCAAGCCTGTAATCCCAGCACTTTGTGAGGCCAAGGCAGACGTATCAAGGGGTCACGAGATCGAGACCATCTTGGCTAACACTGTGAAACCCCATCTCTACTCAAAAATATAAAAATTAGCCAGGCGTGCGGGCCTGTAGTCCCAGCTACTCGCGAGGCTGAGGCAGGAGAATCGCTTGAACCCGGGAGGCAGAGGTTATAATGAGTGGAGATTCTGCCATTGCACACCAGACGGGGCGACAGAGCCAAACAATATCTAAACAAATAAATAAGTAAGCAAGTAAGAAATCAACGGCCAGCCATGGCAGCTCACGCCTGTAATCCCAGCACTTTGGGAGGCCAAGGTGGGTGGATCACCAGGTCAAAAGTTCGAGACCAGCCTGGCCAACATGGTGAAACCCCATCTCTACTAAAAATACAGAATTAGCCGGGCATGATGGCAGGCCCCTGTAGTCACAGCTACTCGGGAGGCTGAGGCAGGAAAATCGCTTGAAACCGGGAGGCGGAGGCTGCACCGCGCCACTGCACTCCAGCCTAAGCGATAGAGCAAGACTCTGTCTCAGGAGAAAAGATTTGGCTCTATTCTAACCGTGTTTTCTACCACTCGATGTCCACCGTAATACCTGGCTCTCAGAGATTATCACTGGGCTTGCCCCCTCACTTCAGGCAGGTCTATTCTATTATCACTTCCTCAGAGATTTCTCTGGCCTTCTCTTCACAGCACTTACATAATATGATCTATTACATATTAATTTGCTTATTTGTTTCGTTTTCCTATACTCCCATCCCTCCCAGAAGCTACGAGAGAGCAACTGTTGTATCCCTAGGGCCTAGAATACTGCGTGCACATAGTAGGTACTCAATAAACAATATATTGCTTGACAGGCTAGAAGAGGTGAATAAACACAAAGCGGGAGCGAAAACTCTACTTCTAGGTCAGGCGCTTTCTGGACTTCATGCAACGTGTGAGCGCCACCTCTCGGGAAGCCAATTTGCTTTCGAACGAAGGAAGTGAGTCAGAGAACCCGGGGGTGGAGGGACGAAAGCACGCACTAACCGGAAGGGCTTGAAGAAGATAGAGCCGGAAGTTAAACAGCGGAAAGTTGTTCCCTAGATTGACTGCCTACTCCCAAGAGGAAGCGTGGGCAGGCGGTGTTCGGCAAAATGGGCTCTCCGGCAGCGGATCTGCGCAGAATCGTTCCCTGCGTACAAGTGCTGCTAACCACGTGGGGTCCGGGCGCATTTCGGGTGCTGCAGGCTGCAGCCAGAGTTCAAAGCCAAGCAGCTGGAGGGGTAAGAGGAGTTCGGGATCCTGAGAGGAAAGGGAAAGGAGTGGAGTCGCGGGAGAGGGGGAGGTGAGGCGGCTTAGTGAAGAGGAGAGTTCAGCTCTGAGAGGCGGTGAGGAGGATCTGATGGGAGGAGGGGCAGGGAGCGCCTGTGGACAGGTGCAGACCGGTCGGCGCAAGTCCCACGCCACGTGGACTCGCCATCGTCGGTGGCCGCCTTTCTTGTCAGGCCGCAACGACAGGGCTGTGCCTTATTTGTCTCTGTGGAGTGCAGTGCCGGGCATGGAGTTGGCGCTCAGTAAGTGCTTGCTGAATGACACGCGTGTGTGTGTCATTCATTCAGCAGGCACTGAGTGCTTACTGTTGTGTCACTGGGATCGATGTGGAGAGACATTTTTAGGGGCTATTTCTGGTGCTTTAGTCCTATTTTCTTTTTTAAATTTTTTTTATTTTATTGCTGCCGTGACTCGGATTTAGTCCTATTTTATCCTGGACAATCTGTTTGCCCCGAGCCCCATCGGGGGATTCTCCACAGTCTTTGGGCTTTGTTTCTCTCTCTCTCTCTCTCTCTTTTTTTGGAAGTTGCAGGGCGATGCTCATTTAAGACGTTTTCTTTGCTGTTACTGACTGCTAGTCCCTGTGGCTAGGTTCCATAGACCTACACAGGAGTAAACCAGCTTGGTGTGCAGGCCAGAGACCGGTGGGGAGGCAGACACACAAACAGAAAATTGGACTACAGTGCTAAGATGCTGTAAGAAGAGGTTAACTAAAGGACAGGAGGGTGGGGCCGAGGGGTGGTGCTGCTGTCTGCTTTAGGGATTGTCTTTCAAGTCGAGGGGCCTCCTGTCTCCTTCTGTGATACAGGATAGGTCATGAGCCCAGTCTTCTGTAAAATGAAGAGCTGAAATAGGTGCTCTCTAGGCTTCCTTTCAGTATGATGCCCCATATCAGATATTACTGTCTTTAGTTCTCCCAAACCCCACTGTTTATTGGCTACTCAAAATATTCCTTGTATAAGGTGTAGGATACAAGAATGGATTAATGGATTAGGAATTCTGGGTTTTGGCCTTCATTCTGATGCTCTAGTCCTGTTTCCTTATTTGTAAAATGAAGGGAGTTGTAACGATATATTCTCTAAAACCCTTAATGCTATGGCTGTGGCATTAAGTCAAAGTATTATTTCATACTACCTTGTACCAAGACATCACTTTCACATTAGTAAAATTTTTATCAATGTAGTTTTCCCCAAGCTGGATTCTTGAGAAAGATAGTGCCTTGCTTTTACATACTGTATCTTAGTTCCACCACAGTGTTTGTTACACAGTAGATGCTTGAAAAAAGTTTATTGGGGCCGGGCGCGGTGGCTCAAGCCTGTAATCCCAGCACTTTGGGAGGCCGAGGCGGGTGGATCACGAGGTCAAGAGATCGAGACCATCCTGGTCAACA